CCCCATCTATTTGCCAGAAAGTGAAGAGGAACTAAAGAGCCTCTTGATGCAGGTGAAAGAGGAGAGTGCAAAAGTTGGCTTGAAACTCAACATCAAGAAAACTAAGATCATGGCATCCGGTCTTCTCACTTCCTGGCAAATAGATGGGGAAGAAATGGAGGCAGTGCCAGATTTTATTTTCCTGGGCTCCAAGATCACTGCAGACGGGGACTGCAGCCAAGAATTAAAAGACGCTTGCTCCTGGGGAGGAAAGCTATGGCAAATCTAGACAGCATACTAAAAAGCAGAGACATCACCCCGCGGACAAAAGTCCGTATAGTCAAGGCCAGGGGTCCTCAAACTTTTTCAGCAGGGGGCCAGTTGAAAGCTGCCGGTGCTGGACGCGGGCCGGAAAGGTGGTGCTGGCGGTGCACGCGAGCCGGTGAGGGGGTGGTGCGGTACGTGCGTGCACTGAGGTGGGGGTGGGGCACACGGCGAGGCGAGGTGCGGGCGGGCAGGTGCGCGCAGCGAGGGAAAGTGAGGCAGGCGCATGAGGCACGTGCATGGGAAAACGAGAGATCGTTTTCTCCGAGTGAGCAAACCGCTGCCTCCCAGTGGGTGGGGTGAGGTGGGTGGCGGCGGGCACGCGCATGGACGCGGGTGCAGCAGGTCCAAATGGGCATGGTGGGCCGAATCTGGCCCCCGGGCCTTAGTCTGGGGACCCATGGTCAAGGCGCTGGTTTTCCCAGTTGCAATGCATGGCTGTGAAAGCGGGACCATAAGGAAGGCTGAGCGCCGAAGGATTGAGGCCTTTGAATTGTGCTGCTGGCGGAGACTCCTGCGAGTCCCTTGGACCACAAGGCGATCGAACCGGTCAGTCCTGGAGGAGATCAACCCCGACTGCTCTTTAGAAGGCCAGATACTGAGGGTGAAGCTCAAATACTTTGGCCACCTCATGAGAAGGAAGGACTCCCTGGAGAAGAGCCTGATGCTGGGAACAATTTACTTTATTTTATTTTACTGTATATATTTTAATTGTCATTGTTTTAATGTATTTTGTATTCGATGTTGTAAGCCGCCCCGAGGCCTTGGCAAGGGGCGGCATAGAAATGTTTTAATTAATTAATAAATAAATAAATAAATAAATAAATAAATAAATAAATAAATTGAGGGCAAGAGGAGGAGGGGACGGCAGAGGATGAGGTGGCTGGATGGAGTCACTGGAGCAGTCGGCGTGAGCTTGGGTGGACTCCGGGGGATGGTGGGGGCAGGAAGCCCTGGAGGAATGTTGTCTGTGGGGTCGCGATGGGTCGTACACGACTTTGTGACTAACAACAACAACAAATTCCTGAAGTCAAGGGATGGTTGGCAAGGGCCAACAAGCTCCGGGTAGCCCGGACATTACCGCATAAAATCGTGGAGAGCAGAGCTGGGTGGGGCCAGGCAGCCTTCGGGCCCAAGCCCGTGCTCAGTGCAGGGCTCCAGGTTACCCCATCCCATCTCAGGTGCCTGGCCTGGATCTCCGATGCAAGACCCGGGCGGAGCAGCATGGGGGAAGAGCCGGCTGCCTCCGGCATGGCGCACCGCCCCGGCGTTGCCAGCCTGCTTTTGCCAGATGCTCCCGCTCGAGTCCCTGCAACGGCCGCCAGCCAGGCACCGGCCCTCCTGCGCAGCCTCCCAGCTCCTCTGCCAGCCACAAAAGGCCCATGTTCCTTTCCGGACTGGGAGTTCATTAACAAACAGCCCGCAGAGCTGGATTGCGAGGCGGGGAGGCAGAAAGCGTGGCTCGCCGGGGAGGCACTGGCCCTGAGAGTGGGGCTGGGGGGCTGGCCAAGGGTGCTCACAAGGCGTGGCATTTGTTCCCCCCACATCCCATGGCTTTCCACAGCACGGCAGGACTTGGGTTGCACCGGAAACCTGGACCGGGCGGAAGCAGTGCTTCTGCCTCCGAGGGCCGAGCTGCAGCAGCGCACCCAGGCAGGGAGGAAGCCCAGACGCTGGTCCCGGGCACAGGCTCGAGCGCCGCGGGCCTTGCGAGCACCCCTGGCTAAGCCAGGGCAGTCTGCACGGCACAGAGGGGATGCGGAGCCCAGCGGGACGAGCAGGGCTTGCACTGATCTCTGACGGGGGCCCCGATCCGTACTCAGAAATGGCCGGAAGGAACCACGCCAGCTTCCTTGGGGAGAGATCCGTGGCTTCCACGCCAACAGGTGCAGCTCTGAGGCAGGACAGCAATTCAGTACAGCAAAACCTCTCAGGCAGGAAGGGTTACGGCTGCCCTCCCTCAGCTGCACAACCCGACGGTTAGAGCTCCTTTAAACCTGGCGCTATGGGATCGTGCCCGGGGGGGGGGGCGCTTCCCATTTATGCCACGGGGGCAGCCTTGCCAAGACTTCTGCCTGGCCAGTCCTGGAGGGAGAACAGAACCGAGCGAGGACTCACCTGAGGTAGCAGGCCTCTTCAGTGGTCCGGCCTGGGTGGACTCTGGCTTTACCGCATCTGCCGGACATGGCCGCCACCTCTGCCTCCCTGCTGCCCCTTCCCTCGAGGAATCTCCCTGTTACCTGGGGTGGGAGAGGGCAGCCCAAGGGTTTGCGACTCCGATGTCCACGCTTCTGTGAGGCCGAGGCAGCCAAGCGGCATTCTGCCTGAGGAGCCCCGTTCCATGCGCGACGAGTCCCGGGCTCGGGCGTGCTGGTGGGCGGCATGAACATGGCTGTGATGCGTGGGGGGCGCCTCTTCTCCCACCTCTGGAACCAAGCAGGGCGCAGTCGCCAGGAGCAGATCCCTTGCTGCCCCCTCATTCATTTAGCTACACCAAGAACAGCCAGGCTGGAGGCGGCCCGTGGCCTGTCCCTGCGGCAGGGGGGGCACAAGGCCCCCTCCTGCCCAGCTCCTCAGCGCCCAGGGAGGGAGGCCTGCAAGGCCGGCAGCTGCAGACAGACGCCTCCTCCGGCAATCTCTCGATCTCCCTTTAAAGCCATCCGGACTGGCAGCCGCCGCCACTTCCCATGGCAGCGAACTCCATCGCTTAACCACGTGCCGCACGCAGGACCCCCTCCTTCAGTCGCTCCGGGGGCCCCGTGCATTCTGGTTTGGGGGCGGGTCTCCCTCTCCATGCGATGCACAGGCTGGCACACCCCTCTCCTGCCTCCCTCCCTCGCCTTTTGTTCAGCTGACAAATCCCACTCCTCACAGGGGAGCTGCTCCAGCTCTCGGTCATTTCAGCTGCCCTTCCGGCAGTTTTTCCAATTCAGTGTCCTCCTTCAGGTGCGGGGACCAAAGCCATGCACAGTATTCCAAGTGTGGCGCACCAGAGGGTCCCCATCGGGGAAGTCGCATCGTCAATTCCGTTCCCACTTGTGCGTAACTTGGGGCTTCCACAGCAGCCGCGCACTGGGCTGGCACTTTCATAGGTCCCCTCGCTTCGGTGAGCTTTAGAAGAGCAGAACAAGAACCCACCGAGCGCCCTTTAGACGTGACCCATCTCGTGCCTTGTATGCTGGTTTCTGGACCCGAGCAAACATTGCGCGAGAAACGGCAGACATGCGCTTCTGCTGCAAACGGTGCCGCCCGGGCCTGTGCCGGGCAGGACTGGGAGGACAGCGTGCAGGGCGCCAGTGTGGGCACATCACTCAACCCGAACAGGCAGAGATTTCTCCTGGGGGTTTCTCTGCCGAGGCCCCAGCGCATTCCTCGGATGAAATGCCCTCAGCGGTTTGCTATGGAAGTCCGACTGGACCGGCCGTCCCGGGAAGCGCTGTTCAGAGACGGAGAGGCACAAGCAGGGAGGGCTCTCACGAGCCAGCAGCAGCCCCAGGCAGAGGACTGCTCTTTCCAGAGTCCACTCGGGAGGCGGTGCCAGCTCCAGCCTTGGCACGAGCGGTCCTCTGAGCCCTCAGAGGGGCCTCATGACACAGTGGAGGCCAGCAGGGCTGCCTGGAGGCGGCAGCCATGCTGGGGAGGCCAGCGGCAGGCACCGGGGGGAGGACCAAGCATGGGATGGCCTGAATCCACCGAGAAAGCCGCAGCCTTGACCCGGAAGAGCTCAGCAGGGCTGCCACTGAGCGGACGTTCCGGAGGGCGCCCATCCGTGGGGACGCTGCAAGCCAGAGGCAGCTTGACAACATGCAACACACACGCACCCTCATGCCTCACAAGCGGCCTCACACAAGCAGTTTGGGCTCTGGCATAGAATTAAGCAGAACAATACTTAGTTTTTGTTTCTTTCTAAGCGATTAAGTCCTTGTAAGATCAGGGAACACTGGAAAACATGTGGCACAGCCAAACAGGAATGCTGAAGATGAAATGAGATGCTCCGCCGGAGTGGCAAGCCGTCCGGTGGTCGGCACCTGCTCACGCACTCCTGGAGATACCGCCAGTCCAAGGAGAACTTGCACCAGCGGGGGGGGGGGGGGGGGTGGACTCGATGGCCTTCATGGCCCCTGCCAACTCGTTTCTGCGAACCTATGAGGGCTGGCTCATCGGGTGAGCACTGCCGGCTCACGGGCAGGTCGGGCAGCTCCGTGCCCTGCCCCTGCAGGAGCCAGCCAGCCCTCCCCATGGACGGGCCCCGGCCCAAGAGCCCCATGCCCCTGCACAAGGCGCGCAGGAGCACCTCACCTCTAACCACGGGACGCCGCATGCAGCCTTCAGGATGGGGGACATCCAAGGCGTCGTGCGCAAGACCACTGTGAGCATGGCGGGGAATTCCGCATTGAGTGGAGGGAGGAGGAAGCTGCTGAGCGGCTTGGCTGGGGGCGGGTGGTGCTCCTGCTGCAAACGCTTCCGGCAGAGAGGAGCCCCCCGCTGCTCCTCGTCCTTGGCCAGGCCAGGGAGAAGGGCAGGCCGCCATGAATGGCAGGGCAGGGCAGGGGCAGCAGGGTGGCAAGAACCACCTGGATTCGCACATCTCCTGGCGCGGTCCCCTCGTACAGCGCTCTCGCCTGCAGTCAGTCGGACAACCTGCCTCGCCACTCAAGCACAAAACTCGGCCCAGGGCTTTCACTGGAAGCTCAGGTGACAGTGGTGGCGAGGACGCTTTCTTTCAGCTTCGGCTGATCCATCAGCTGCGCCCCTACCTGGAGAACGACTGCCTGGCGACAGTGACACACACGTTGGTGACTTCCCGACTTGACTTCTGTAACGCGCTCTACGTGGGGCTGCCCTTGAAGACGGTCCGGATACTTCAATTGGTTCAAAATTGAGCTGCCAGACTGCTGACGGGGACAGGGCGTTGTTCTCATATAACCGCAGCCCTCCGTCAGCTCCACTGGCTCCCCATTGAAGTCTGGGCCCAATTCAAGGTGTTGGTGATGACCTATAAAGCCCTCAACGGTTACCTGAAGGAGCACTTACGTCAATATATGCCCGCCCGCCCCTTGAGATCTGCGGGAGAGGCCCTTCTCCAGGAACCCTCCGTGAAAGAAATTAGGAGGGTGGGTACTCGGAGCAGGGCTTTCTCTGCGGTGGCGCCCAATCTATGGAATGCGCTCCCCAGAGAGGTCTGCCTGACGCCGTCGTTATTTGTTTTTCGGCACCAGGCTAAGACCCTTTTATTTAAACATCATTTTAATTGTTAATATTATTTATTGATTTTACATCTTTGGCCAGAACGTCTCCAATTATATGGTTTTTATATTGTTATTATGTTATTTATTGTTGTGAGCCGCCCCGAGGCTTCGGCGAATGGGCTGGCATAGAAGCTTCATTTATTCATTCATTCATTCATAAATAAAACATGCCCGCCCCTCATGCCCTCCCTCCCGTGTCCTAGAATGCCTGCCACCACAGGGGGCGTGGGGCAAATCTCTGCGGGGCACCATGTCTTGGAGGAAGAGCCGCGTGCTCATTTTGCGACAGGCACACCTGACCCAGCCCTCGGGGCCGGGCTACCGCAGGCTCCCTTCCCCCCGGGGTCCCTGTGCCCAGCGGCTGGATCCACCCCGCACCTGCCGGGGCACAGCAGGGACGCGCCCCAGCCCAGCCCAGCCCAGCCCAGCCCCCCCGGGGCTTCTGCAGGGGCTGCAGGGGGCACCTGAACAGAAAGGTGCTCGGCGCAAGTCATTTGGGGGCGGGAATTAGCCAGCCTGCAGGAAGAAATGCAGGAAACACACAACTCTGCAAGAGCCGAGGTTTGATGAAAAATATCCAGCACTTTATTTCCTCCGAGAGGTAATCCAGTGAAAATATACGCATTTTTGCACACACGCGCACGCACCTCAACCTGCTCTTGGCCACAGTGCCAGACCCACGCACCAGGAATGGGGCAGAAGTCAGCAGGAGAGCCCTGCGCCGAGGCTGGGGGTCGGGACCCCAGGCCTTGCCAGTGTGCCAGCAGCAGAGGGAACTCCGGGGGCCCTCTCTGCAGGGTCGGGGCTGTTCTCCGGAGACAAGGCCGGCTACCCTGCTGGCCCCGGCGAGCAGTCCGATGATCTGGGGCACCCTTCAGGTTTCACACTTCCTGCTCTTCCCTGGGCCCCCCCACCCTCTCCTGTTGCCCCGAGGAGTCCCATGGAGGCCCCTCCAGCTTCGCCAGGCCTTATCTGGCGTGACTGTGCCGTGGCTTCCCTTCCTGCAATAGGACCGAAGGACCATGTGCCGGCAGAGGACAGGGAAGCCATCTTCGCCCCCAAAGACGGGAGTCCAGGCCCACTGCTGAAAGGGATGGGCGGGCGGGCGGGCGGGCGAGCCCAGCTGGGACGACGAGATCGGTCCTGCGGCCCCCCTGGGCACACCCAAGACACGTCGCTTTTGCACAAGCTTCCTTTTGCATCACATCAGATCGCACGCACGCACGCACACCCAGAACACAACAGCGGGCCCTTGCCCCACCTGAACCGGATCCCTCCCCCGAGCCCGCTTGCCAGGCGGCGGCGCAGCCTGCCCCCAGCGCAAGCAGAGACCGCCCTGCAGCCGGCCCAGCTGGATGGACCCGCCCACAGCTGCCCACCGCCAAGAGCATTCGAGGGGCTCCTGCGGGAAGAGGCGGCCCAGCATCCGGGGTCCAGTGCCGCAGCCCTTGTGGTCGCAGCAGGAGGACCCGGCGCACAGAACTCCTTAGCGCTCAAGGAGCACCAGCTGCAGAAGGCCAGGGCGGGCGGGCGGGCGGGCGCGCAGCGTGAGCAAGCGCCGCTCTCGGGGTTGCAGCACGGGTTCCTGGGTCTGGCACTGCCGTGCGGGAGAGCAACGAACGCCTGGAACCCAGTGGGCCAAGTGGCGGCGGCGGCTGCGGGATGCAAGACAGGCGCTCCCCCGGGCCCCGGCCCTGCTCCACCTTCCTCTTCCTCACCCGGGCTCAGGTTTCGGGCAAGGAAAGCCCCCGATGTAACCCTCAGCACACACGCACACGGGCCACGGCTCGTAGAGCGGCGGCGGCGCAGGGGACGGGGACGGGGAGGGCCACCCTGGCTTCTTCTCCGATCCGCCCTGCCCTGAGTTAGCAGCACGGCATTTGTGGTTTGGCTTTCCAGAAGACGCAATGGCCCATTTATCTGGAGGCTGGTCAGCCCGGAGTACCTTTTGCTGAGCAGCCAGGCACCTCCCGGGGGCTCCCCCAGTCCTGGGGCAGCCGGCCGCAGCAGCCCTGGACGCCCCCCGGCCCTTCCGCGGGTGTTCTTCTGGAGACCCTCTGCAGCCCATCAGGAGGATCTGCCACTTGCACAGACGCCGGCTGCTCCCGGGAATCCTGCGGCCGCCCGGCAGCCAGAGCTGTCCAGCCAGCGGGTCTCCGCTAGAAGCGCTTGTCCTCTGGCTGAGAGCTGACCACCAGCTCCTTGTTGCCAAAGTCCCACCAGGCAGTCATGTGGAAGGCCATGTTGGACAGGACCACCAAGTACTCCAAGAAGGCAAAGACAGTATAAACTAGGAAGGAAAAGCAAAACATAAATGCTGCACAGGGACGACCAAGCCCAGCCAGGAGAAGACAAGCTCGGCGGGAACAGGACGCTGCGCGGTGCTCATGCGACCCGCTCGTTCCTTCGCGCCCTGAAGCAAGCAGGCACGCGCCAGTGACAGGAAGACGTGCAGCACCACGTCCCGGACGGGCACTGCAGCCTCGTGCTCGCACCTGCTCCGTCTGGGGTCTGTTCAGCCTCCCCTGGCAGGCCCTGCTGGCCTCACCTTCCCCTCCTCTCCCCGCCATTCTACCTCCGTGCCAGCCCAGCCAAAGCGGACAGCTAGGATGGCCGAGCTCCACAGCCAGCCCTGGAAGCAGCAGCCCAGAGACCGCAGCCGAGCAGCGAGACTGCACAGGGCAGGGCAGGCGTGGAGCCACCCAGGAGCGCCCAGCTCTGCATCGGGCTGCCCCTGCCCTTGGCAGCTCCTCCACGCCCAGCGGGGCTGTCGCCAAGCACCGCCGATGCACCCACGCTTCTCTGTTTGTCCGCAAGGGCTGGCTGGAAACTGGGTTTGATCCTAGGCCAGGATGTTGCAGACGCTCAGCTCCGCCTCAAGAGCCGGTCCCACTATCAGCTCACGCACCCCACAAGGACGTGAGACTCGCGAGCCTGGAGCTCGGCTGACTTCCCGGGACCCTTCCGGCCGGGATCCTCCAGGGGTGAGCGGCTTGCCCATGACTCAGAAGGCCCAAGTGGTGGCCCCGCCTGGGCACAGCTGCTGGTGCCCACCCGGCGCAGGGGGAAGCACAGGCACTAAGAGGCGAGCCAGCCACGCCTTGCCTACCAGACAAGCCTAGCCAGCGGATGGGGCGCCATCTCTGCTGAACGGAGCTTGTCGTTCCGCTCCCAACCTTCCCAAGAACAAAACAGTTTACTCGCAAAGCTCAGGCGGAACAGCCCATAAAAGCCACGGAGCAGAGGCAGCCCCAGGGAAGGGCCGGAGGGAGAGGCTGGGTGGTGCTGGAGGGCCCTTACCTCCGGACTCACAGTACCAGTTGTGGCGGAAGTAAAACCACACAGCCACGGAGAACGTGAGCAGGTTGAAGACGAACAGCCACAGTTTCCACTTGTAGGACTTCCGCTCCTGCAGGAGAGAGAAGACTGAGCCAGGGAGCTGGGGCGCGCTCTCCCTGCCCTTCCTCGCCCCCTGGCCCCCAGAAAGGGAAAGCCCAGCAGGGCCACGCCAGGGGGCTTGGCCAGTGGCCTCTCCACTGTGGGACTCGCAAGGTGCTCTGGGCCTTGGGCGCTCTGGGCGCCAGCCCCTGCTCATCCACGGAGCCCGCGGGGCCACCCGTCACGGGCCCTCAGCCCACCCTTCCTCACAGGGCTGGCTGCTGCTGTGGTGGGAAGCATGAGGACAGGGGCGGGAGGAGGACGCAAGCTGCCCCGAGTTCTCCAACAAGGAATGCAGTGGGGTAATGATCTAATGAACAGGCCTGCTTCCCAGGTTAAGACCAAGTCCCTGAGATGGTCTTTAAGTTGGATCGCATAAAAGGCACTTGACACTTCCACATATGCTAAAACATCTTAAACACAATACAGCATGAAAATAATTGGAGTAATAATAAAGCAAGGTACTACAGGCATTGGAGAGAGAGAGAGAATTCGTACGCACGTGTGTAGGCACACAGTGCAAATGACCAAGGAGCTGCCGTCACGCCCCTCACGGACGGACCGCGTAGCTTGGGCTGGCCGGCCCAAAGAGGAGCAAGGGGAGGGGGTAAAGCAGCAGAGGCGTGCCAGCGCCCAGAGTCAGCAGAAGCGCCGCTCACAGGCTGAGCCCTGAGTTGGCACGCCTGGGCCGTGGGGCTGGCAGCCCGTGCGGAGCCGTGGCAATTCTGAGGGCTGGTGTGGCTGGCAGGAAGCCGCCCCGGAGCTGCGGGAAACGACTGTGGGAAGGAGGCTGGGCTTCCTCCTCGAGATACCCAGCGGCTGTTCGAGGCACTCGCCTCCCTGCCCTCCTCGGGCGGAAACACGCAGAAGCGGCCGCACGCCCTTGCTGCGAGGCGAGGGCCAGCCCTGGGGGCGGCGGGGTGCCCCCTTCTGCCCCAGCCTGGCGCACGCTTGCGCTCACCTGCCTTTGGCACCAGAGCAAACGTGGCTCCCACTGGAGCAGCAGGCAAAGCCTCTTTCTGCAGGATACACGGGGCAAGAAAGCCGACCGCCGCAAGGGCAGCCAAAGGGCATGAGGCCCCCTTTGGACCTCCTCATCTGCACACAAGCGAGAGGAGTCGCGGCCCGGCTCTGAAGGGCCACCTCACCCTGCGAAAGCCCCCCGCCCCCTGAAGAGCCGGCCCAGCCAGCCAGCCAGCCAGCCGCTCACAGGAGCAAGCCCTGTTACGCTGCCCGCTGCACCTTCACCCGCTCTGGCCCGCAAGGCCACCCTTCCCGAGGGCTAGTGACCCAAGCGGGGCACAACCTTCCTCAAGCCCCACCGAAGGCCTCCCCCCCCACCGGTGGAATCAGCCTTCTGAACCGCAGCCCCCAACAAGCCCCAGGCGGTGCCAAGGCGGGCAGCTGGGAGGGCGGGCGGGTGCTTCCTCCGCGCGGCGGCCGAAGGCGCTCCACACGGGAAGGCTCCGTGCCCCGCACACTGCGCGTCCCGTGCATTGGCAGTGGGGAGACCTGCAGCGTGGGGGGTGATGGGGGGGCAAGAGGGCAGCAGCCCCTCCATGTGCTCCTGCGCAGATACCGGGAGCCGGGCGGGTTGAAGCGCCCGGCTGTGAGGGCGAACCTGGGCAGGGTGGGCAGCACAGAAACGCGAAGGACTGGAGACACCGGTGGGCTTGGGCCTCTCTGGACAGAAGCGGCAGGGAAAGCCCGGGAGGTGCGCACCGGGGGCGGCGTGGCTCTGCGTGCCCACAAGGGCACAGCGCCGGGGGACCTGGGCATCGGCGGCTCGGCAGTCAGTGCCTAAGGCTTGCCTGGGGTAAACTGGCCAAAAGAGTTACTGAGGAAAATTCGGGGAAGCCCTGCTGAAAGGGAATCGACAGAGGAAAATTAAACCGTGCCTTAATAACCGATTACAATTTTCCAGGCATATCTGTAAGCATGTCGACGGGGCAATCCAGTAGGCACCGTTTACTTGGACTTCCAAAAGGCTTTTAACAAAGTCCCTCATCAAAGACTCCTGAGAAACCCAGGAGCCACGGAACAAGGATGGGGTGTTCTCGTACGGACCAGTAACTGATTAAAGCAGAAAATAGGAATAAATGGCAAATTCTTCCAGGGGAGGGGTACAGGCAGTGAGGTGCCACAGGGATCCGTAATGGGACCAGTGCCTTTCAACTTATTCTTAAGTAATCTGGAATTAGGAGAGAGCAGTGAAGTGGCCAAGTTTACTGGTAATACCAAATTATTCAGGGTAATTAAAACAAAGGGGAATTTGAAGAGATTAAAAAAAAACATCCTGTGCAAACTAAGAGAACATTCATTAAAATGGTAAATGTGGTTCACTGTAAGCAAGAGAAAAGCAATGCGCACGGGGCAAGAAGTGACGATAAGCCGATGGGATCAGAGCGAGTGGCGACCGACCACAAAAGGGATCCTGGGGCTGCGAAGAGGAGCAACGTGAAAACATCAACTGAATGTGTTCGCTGTGCGAGAGAGAGATCCCATGTTAGACATAATTAGGAAAGGAACCAAAAATAACATTGAAGCCGAGCGGGTCGGGAGGAGCCTCCCGGGCCATCTAGTCTGACCCCCGGCTCCACTCACGCCATGCCCACCACGTGCATGTCCGCCTGTCCTGGAACCCCTCACCGGTGGGGCCTCAGCCACCTCCTGAGGAAGCCCCTTCCAGGCCCTGGGGAAGCGCTTCCTGGAATCCCCCCCCCGTCATGGTCCCCGGGGCTAGGCTTCCCCGGAGCGTGCCCAAGAGCACGGTGCCCCCACGCAAACGCACCAGGCACTCACGCAACCCTGTGGCTTGGCTGCACGTGGAGCTCTGTGCAGTGCTTCCCACTGCAGCCTAAAGGAGATACCGGCCGTCCCCGCGGGGTTCCCGGATGAGCTCCGTTCCTGAGAACGTCTTGCAGTCGAATTTGTACTCAAGTCCGATCAGGCACATAATGGTTCTATTCAGCACAAGCCAGCCGGATGTCTGTCGGAGGAGAGTGGTGCCTCGGCTCATGAGCTTGACCTGCTCCAGGGCTCCGGCCGTGACCCAAACTGGTCGTGAGCCAAGCCAAATTTCCCCATAAGGCTCAATGCAAGCAAGGTTAATCTGTTCTGCAGCTATTTTTTTACTCACAAAAATGTGAAGGAAAGTGACAAAGAACAACAAAGATCATGGCCATCTCCCCCCAACCCAGTGATCATGTGGGGTGGCGGGGGGAGGCATGCGTGCAGGGAGAGGCGGGCGTGGGCGCGCCCGGGCAGGGAACACGGGTGCAGTCATGGCCATCTCCCCCCAGCAAAGCACGACCGCAACCGTGCCCGGGTGGGGGAGGCAGGCGCACCCGCAATCATCACCCGATGCAGAGTCCACAACCTACGGCAAAATTTTTATGAAATTTCTGTTCGTGACCCGATCTGGTCGCGAACTGAGGCATTCGTGAGCCGAGGCACCACTGCATACATACATATTTTACCTTTCTATGCATGTAAAACACTTAAATAATTCCATATACAGTCAGCCTCCCACATATGTGGGCAGGGGCCCAGGACCCCAAGGAAAGTAGAAAACCCACAAATATCTCTAGCTCTCCCCCCAACCTCAACTCTCAACGCAGCTCAGCTGGATACCCCAGGCTGCTCCTCCCTCAGACCCTGCCCGATTCAGCAGGACTTCTCTTCTTCAGTTACTAAATTCTTATGTCCCTGCCCCTCGCCCTCCCTTCCATGCACCCGTTCCGCCTCTGCACCAAGGAAATGCCGGAGGGCTTTCACTCTCCAAATGGGCGGGCCAGCAGGCATGTCTCGGAGACCCTCCCTCTGCCCCTCGCGCATCCTCTCTCTTATGGTGACAAAGAGGTTTCCACAGTAGGCCACAAAACTCCAGAAACTGCTGCATGTGTTCCTCTGAACTATTTAACTTGAAATGAATATTTATGGCAGTTCGTAAGCATGGCTGTGCGTAACTCAGATGTTTGTAATGTGGGGACTGCCTGTGCTGCAGAGGTGGAAAAAGCGCAGAGAGGAGCGACTGTAATAATGGAGGCACTGGAGCAACTCGCTCACGAGACTGTATCGCTTTAAAAAGGTGAGTTGGGGTGCGCAGAATTATGCCTGGGAAGCATCTTTCTCCTTCTCTTACCAGAAAAGCCGTGCTGAATAGGACCAAAGGCCCATCGAGTCCTGTACTCGGTACAGATGGTGGCAAACCAGATGCCCCGCATGCAGGATGGGCGCAAGACCTCCTCCTGCCCAAGCTCCTCAGCGACTGGGGCATGCAGGCATGCCAAGCTCTGGGAAAGGTGGGAGCGCGAGTCCGCACGGCTAGTAACCACTGCTAGCCTCCCTTGTGAATCTGCCCAGTTCCAAACCGGTGGCCATCAGTTCTTCCCGTGGCAGCAGATTCCATGGTTTAACTAGACTCTTTGTGAAGAAGTATTCCGTTTTCCCTGCCCTAAACCTCCCACTAATCAGCTTCATGGGATGATACAGGATTCAAATGTTTTTGTTGATTTTTTTTGGGGGGGGGTAGAGAGAAAAATGTCTCCTTCTCTACTTTCTCCACCCCATGCACTACTTAAACACCTGTATTGTATCTTCTGTTATTGCCTTTTTCTAAGCCGAACAGTCCCAGTTGTCACAGCCATTCCCACAGGGGAGCTGCTCCAGCCCCCGGTCAGTCCGGCTGCCTTTCTCCGCACCCCTCCCAACTCAAGCACGTCCTCCTTCCGGCAAGTCAGCCAGAACTGAACACACTATTCCAGATGTGGCCACAGCAAGGATTTGCATAAGGTAAGGAAGATCTTGGCAGTGCTATCCTCTATTCCGCTCCTAAGGACGCCTAGCATGGCGTTTGCCGTCTTCACAGCAGCTGAATGCTGGGCCGGAGTCTCCATCAACTACCCCAGGATCCCTCCCTTGCTCAGCCACTGCGAGTTCAGATCCCATCAGCATTTACCTGAAGCTGGGATGTTTTTGCTCAAACAGCCATCACTTCACACGTGCTTGCCCTGAACGGGATTTGCCATTTTGATGCCCCTTCTTGCAGACTGGAGATCTCTTTGGAGCTCCTCACAGCTCCTTCTGGTTTTAATCACCTAAACATTTGAGTGTCTTCAGCAACCTTGGCCCCCTCACCGCTTACTCCCAATTTCAGATCATTCAGAAATGAGCTGAAGAGCACTAGCCCTGACACAGAGCCCCCGTGGGACTCTGCTGGCGATCTCTCTCCATTTATTCCCACCCTCGGTCTTCTGTTCTTCAGCCTGTTACTGATCCGAAAGACCCCCTTTTATTCCATGACAGCTTCGTTCACCCAGGAGCCTTTGGGGAGGGAGTGCACCAAAAGCCTTCCGAAAGTCCCATGAACGATGCCTACTGGATCGCCCCCTCTGCATGCTCACTGACACTTAAAAAAAACTCCCATAGGTTAGTGAGGCAAGATTTCCCCTGGCGGAAGCCATGCCGATCCTTTTTGCGGGGCTTGTTCCTCAAACGATTTCCTTGCTTCTCTGGCAGTCTGCTTGCATATCCCACGCGCAAGCTTGTGGTCCCATGTTTTCTTTAAACTTGGGCAAGACTTCTATTTCCTGAAGGAAGCTTCCTTCTCCCCGTGAGCTCCCTCGACTCTCTGCATTAACCATGCCGGGAACTTCCTGGAGTTTGCGCCACCTTTCCTCACTTGCACTACACACACGTCATCGTGCCTCTTTTACACTGTTTGTGAGTAATCTCCAAACGCTCTGAAGGGATTTGAACCTCTTGATTCCCCTCTCCAGCTTCCTCTCTACCAGTTCCCTCCTTCTGGGAAGTTTCCCCTTTTGCACTCATGCAGAACTGTGCTCGACTTCTTCGGCATCCTGCCACCTGACTGCACATTCAATCTGATACCAGCACGTGGTGGTCACTGCTCCTGGCGTCTCCACAACATTTCCTTCCTGTGCTCTGTCCTGGGCAACCCCTGCCTCCTCCACCGTAACACGAGACCCCTCCAGGAGCATCCCATGAAGCTGACTGGTGGTGGTCTCAGAGCAGATGGAAGGGCTTCTTCACACAGGGCAGCGATTCCCAACCTGGGGTCCGTGTACCCCAGGGTTAGGAAGCAGGACATTTAGATACTCAAAAAACCCTGAATAATGGCGGAAAGAACAGCAACTGTGTTCATTACAAACATTTTGCTAATACGAAGAGAACAACTTATGGAAATGGGCTGCCAAGGGGCACACAACGGAAAAAAGGTTGCAGACCACCGACATCATGAAACCTTGGAATTCGCTCCCTCAGGATGCAGCAATGCCCTCAGTCTGAGAGCTTTAAAGCAGGACTGGACAATTGATGGACAGCCCCTGGGGTCATGACTGGGTGTTCGACCAGGGACCTGGACCAGGGAGATCCGTGTTTCAGTCCCTACTCAACCAGGAAGCTTCCTAGGTGACTTCGGGCCAGCCACAAAGTCTCAGGTTAATCTCGCAGGGTTGCTGTTGTGAGGGTAAAATGGAGGGAAAAAAGACTTCAGAGGGTTTCTCACAAAAGGAAGAAATGTGAGTACAGTGGTTACCTCAACTCATGACCGCTTTGGTTCATGACCAAATTGGGTCGCAAACAAAAATTTTGACTCAGGTTGTGAACTCTGCATTGGGTGGCAACCATGATCGCGGACGTCTCCCCCCGCCCCCCACCGAGTGAGGAGACGGCCGCGATCGTGCTGGGGGCGGGGGATGGCCGAAATTGCGCCCATCTTTCCTATAGAAGTGCAACCACGATCTCAGCCATCTCCCCACTCAGCACGACCGTGCTCGTCTCTCCCTCCCCCAGCGTGCCTGTGATCGTGCTGGCTCCCACCCCCCAGCACGCCAGGATGATGGGCGCGATTGTGGTTGTGCTGCGGGGAGGGCGGGGGGATGGCCGCGCACGTGCATGGGGTGGGGAGATGGCCACGATCTTTGTTGTTCTTTGTCGCTTCACATTTTTCTGATTAAAAAAACAGCTGCAGAACGGATTAGCCTTATTTACATTGACCCTTATGGGGTGACTTGGCTCACGACCATTTTGGGTCACGAGCGGAGTCCTGGAGCGGATTAAGTCCGTGAGCCGAGGTGCCATTGTGTAAGCAAAACGGTATTAGCCGATCAATTGCTGCTGCTCGTGCTGCACCTTCGCCACCTCCAGTGTCGCAGGCCATGCCCATGTTCCCCAGCTGCTTCAGGGCGTGGGCGGGAGCGGGCTCCTGCGCTCGCACACCGCCTGCGGGCGTCCACGGGCAGCCTGCTGGCCGCTCCGCGAACACAGTGCCGGACCGCGCAGACGGCCACTCTGATCCCGCAGGGCTGTGCCGTTCTAGCTTGGTGATCCAAGGGATGGCGGAAAGGCGGTCTCCAGGCTTTTCAGCCCAATGCGCACATCCGGAGGCTTGAGGGTACGGCACGTGCCCTTCCACAAAACGGCCTCCTCCTGTGCCTTTCCCTTCGGAGGCTTCCGACTAACCAAACGGAGCTCCAACCGTTGTGCTACTGAGGCTCACAACCTGCTGAACAGAAGGTGCAGTGCAGCCAACCCTCCGCGCGAGAGCAGAACCGCCAAGGCAGGCAGAGGGACCGCAAGAAGCAATCTGCTATAGAAAAGTTCACACAGGAAGAGGTAGGCGGCAGGCACATCATTTGCCTCAACGGTGAGAAAATCCTCTCGTCCGTCCTGCCTCCCCTCCCCTCCCCTCCCCTCCCAGGTGTCACTTGCTTCTCCACGGCACGTGGGCTCCCTTCTCCCCAAATGCAGTGAGGTTTCTTCACATACAACCCTTCCCTCACCCCCGGTGGTTTCTCTTCCTAGGTCCGCCCGCTTCCCTGCATCGTTTCCCCAGGTCTCTTCTCCACAGACTTCAGCTTTCTCCTTGCTCCACCCACCATGCCCCTCAGGGCTCTGCCCAGCCCCTCAGCTGCTCAACAGCCGAGGGCCTGCCCCCCTTCCTGCCAACAGCGCAAGCTCCTTGACTTTGGACCCTGTACAAGAATGCCAGGAAGAGCCGGGGCCTCCCCGGTAAAGCCCCCCGTGCCCTACAGGAGCCACTGAAATCTCCCAAGGGCACAACAAGCGAGACGAGGGAACTCGTCCTCTCCCACTGCACCGCCCCAGAAACTGCTGCCGCGACAGGCCTGCTCCCATCCACTCTGACCTCTTGCCTCCTGCAGAAAGGCTGTGCTGCTGGCCGGCATGACTGGTCACTGGCTAAAACTGGCTCTCTGTCCCTGGGCGGGACCAACTGCTCGGTTAAAGAGAATGCATCTGATCACGGGCAAGGTGCTTCCACCTTTCATAACTGGGCTTCTGGGGTGGCTTCCAGGGGAAGCCAAATCCTTAACCTCTTCCATTACAAACCAAGTACGATGTGACACCAAGTAAAATTCAAGCAATTATAAATCTGCCCAATGGAATTCTATATTGTGGTTATTATACCTTTTGTGCTCGATTAATGGTTGTGAACTGCCCAGACAGCCTGAGCTACTGGGAGGAATAGAAGTGAAATGGACACAGGAATAGGAGCTGGGAAGAGGAAGCCAAAGAGTGACCCAAAACGGGTGCATGCTGCCCTCTGCTGGTGAGTCCTCATACCCGCCACCAGTGCCAGACCCTCAGCCGACAGTCTCGTGATGCGCGCGGGGGGGGGGGGAGCGACTGCTTCAGCGGGCCAGAGAAGACAGCAGGGCTCGCTTCTCAAGGCAGACCCAGCAAGCGCACCTCGCACACCTGAGCATGCAGCAGGGCACCCAGCATTTCCCAGTAACCAGAGCATCGCTGCGATGGATTCAGAACCAGCTACAACTGGAAGAACAGAAAGCCTTTCTTTAAAACTGCACTGAATAAACTAGAAATAATTTCTCCAGAAGAACACAGAATTTTTTTTTTACACTTGATACATGTATTTCCCTGTTCTCTCAAATACCAACCAAGTTATCCAAACCCAAACAGCCACTGATGTCTAGTGCACATCCCTAAGTCTGCAAGCAAAAATTACAGCACCTACTCCTTGAAAAAATTCCCACAATGTTTTGCTGCAGTTCACTGAGCAAACCCCAATGCACTTCTGTGCACTTGACAAAAAGTCCAAACGAGGAGTAAGAAGCAGCTGGCTCAGCAGCCAGAGCCAGCTACCTTTGATGCTCCTGAGGTGGCCTCAGGAAAACAGTTCTCACTGGATGAGATGAACTCAGAGGGCCACGATGTGGCCCAGGGCCTTTGCAGGAAAGGAGAGACAAGAGTGGGAAAGAAGAACAACGGGCTAGTCCTGCAGTGCCAGCAAAGCCCAAGCGAAGAGAAAGGGAAGGGCCCAGAAGCTTTGCTCAGTGTAGGCCTAATCTGCACTCCTAACCCTTGCGGAGTGAATTCTGCTGTTTCCTGGTTTCTGCCCGACATCTAGTTTGAAAACAAATGGACTGCCCAAAGCAGTTTTACAAGAGCCAGCGCCAAGCAGAAAAAGCCACCAACTGCAAACCATCCCCACACTGCTCACCGAAGCACAGCAAAGGAGAAAAAGGTAGGTGCCGTACCTCAGGACTTACTGTGTGCTTCTTAGTCATTCGCCACAAAATACAGGTGAGAAACATGTGACTGAGGGCTGACGCAATGAAGAGGATGAAGGCATTCTCGTGGATGACTGCAGCAACAAGAGAACAGGCAATCCGAGTGTTGAGCAAAGAAGCAGACCCACAAGGATCCTACAGTTCACAGGGAGAAGCCAGTCTAGCCACCAAACCCCAAGCCCCAAACCACGCATCACCGCTTCCACGGGCAAAAGCAACCTTTACTGCAATTGACAAGGCCTGCATGAAAGCAGCCCAACACAGAGCTGGAGGAACAAAGCCAAGGCAGGAGGAAGAGCAGTCTGGGGAGGCACACATCAGGATCCACAGCAAAGAACATTTCTGGTTCCAAAGTGCTCACAAGGCAGTGCTCAAGGAGAGAAGCCAAAAGCAGGAAGGGAGCCAGGCCAGCATGGCCCCAAGCCCCTTCGGCTGTCAAAGGAGACACTTACTGTAGTTCTCGGTGGAGGAGACGTAGGTGAGCAGTAAAAGGGCAAGGTTCTCCAGCAGGTTGAGTATAAAGGCCACACGGCACAGCCGGAGGTACCTGGGGTGTGTGCAGTGGCAGCCGCGGTAGTGGCTCCAGTAGACGAAGGCCACTAAGAACCGGGGGGCTGAGTGCAACCCAATGCAGAAACGCCAGACGTAGCGCTGCGGGGTCTGCCCACCGATTGCAGCGCTGATGGAGGGAAGGTAGTTGGGGACCTGCCAGGAAAAACAAAGGGCCCCTGTGGCAATCAACGCAACCTTCGTGGGGAAGCACCCCGTGTAGAGGACTGGTTCTTTCTGAAAACGCCTTGCTCCCCAGGAAGCATGCACAGCCGGGGCTCAAAACCAGGAGGGACCTGCATGCTGCCCCTGCTGCAGCGCCATCTGGCAAAGCTCCTGCAGGGCATCGCTGCAGGCTGCTTGCTATGGCTGGCAGGGCAGGGGTACGGGAGAGTGCCGGCTCCTCTGCACACGGGAGCTTCAAAAGCCATTTGCTGCTGAAGCTCACTGCTCCGTCAGCCCCCTGCTCCGTCTGCGTCGCATTAGCCCTGCCGGGGTCGTCCCCTCAGATCCTACAGCAGCACCGTTTCTGACAGAACATACATCTGACCAATGAGTAAATCAATACACATACCCTTTCTGTGCCTTATAACAGAACACCTTCAGAACTGCCACAGACATACTGTAAGCTCTGCCAAAGGCACTCCCTAAATGCAAACACACACACCTCTGTAGGGGACTTACGCCGCAGTGAGTGGCTGTGGTCTCTGGGAAGTGGAAGAACAGAGACCAGATCACACAAAAGAGGAAGCCAAAAAGTGGGCAGCACACCGTCCCAACTGCCAAGGTGGTGAAGTGGAGCCGGAAGAGGGCGCCATCCCGGTCCAAAGGCAGAGGCACCTGGAACATGCTGCTGGGCCTGCAAGTGGGGAGAGGCAGTGTTTCTGTTCGCGTTCCTCTCTGAGGCTGTAGAGCTTTGGAGAAAGACCTGCAAACCATGCTGGACATTTCTCTGGTTACACGGAAACCAGAGGGCATTTGTGAGGGTCTCTGTTATCCCCCATGAAAGAGAAGCCAGAATCATTCTATTTGATGTCGCAGAATCAAAGGTGGAAGTGACCATCCAGCGCCAGACTCCAGCTGAAGCGCCTCCCATGGAAAGCCTCCCGCGGGAGCCCCGCCGCCTGGCCTTCCGCCCGCCGACCATCCCGATGCCTCTTCCCTGAGCTGCCCACCACCCCCGGCGCCCTCCTGCACTCGGCGCCCGCGCGGACGGCTGGGCAGGGCGCCAATACCGGCGGACCGGCGCTTCCGCGGGTGCCCCGCGGCAGCGAGGGAGGCAGCGCAGGCCCGGCTCGCTCGCTCGCTCTCCCGCGCGGGCGACTCTGCCGCGCCGAGGCCTCGCCTCGCACCTGCGGCCCCGGGGAACGCCCTTCCTGCCTCGCGGCGGGCGGGACCCTCCCGGGCCCGCGGCAGCCGCCGCCCCCCGCGCGCCGCGCTCACCTGCGTCCCGCCGGCTGCCGGCGCGCTCAAGACGAGGGCCCGCCCGCGCCAGCGCCGCCGCAGGGCCGCCTGCTGCGGGAACAGAGGGGCCTTTGAGGCGGCGCGACCGGGCCGAGGCGCCCGCTTCGCCCGCCCCCGCCCCCCGGTGCCGCCGCCCCCCCCC